TTCTTTGAGTTTCAGGAGCAAAAAGAAGTCTGAAGAGGCAATCTCAGGGCTATAGCGTCGAAAGGGTAAGGATTCCCAGTGAATTCTCATAACATAGCTCTCACTACCCTCAAAGGATGAGCCAATGCAGGACCAGGATAGGGAAACAATTCCTTGGCATAATTTTCCCGTGGTTTTGTAACCACTAGTGTTCCATTTTCTTAAAACTTCTTCATAACAAGCCTGTCCTGTGACCTGCGAGAACAATCTATGGAGATGAACCCTTGAATTACCTTTTTGGCAACCCCCAAATGGTTGTATAATCTTTGAGCTGACCTCTCTGCCTCGAATTTACTGACCCAGCAGATCCCCTTGGCCGGCACTGTTTTGATTGGATCTTCTCACTTGAAGGCACTCAAATGAAACTAATACAAACCTATCACTGAGAGAACTTGTCTGCAGACATCCACTGCTTACACAGACATATTTAAACATGTTGGCTAAATAAATAGCCTGTGCATGTATAAACTGGAGCCCGGAACAATTATTTTTTTTTCAACATACCTTAGTATATATGGGCTACACTGCCATACAACAGAGTCCTGCTGGCACACTGGGTTAAGCATTTGGCCACTAAACGGGTAGTTCGTGGTTCAAACCCATGAGCTGTTCCTTGGAAGACAGATGAGGCTGTTTGCTCCTATGGAGGTCCGCACTCTCGGAAACTCTAAGGAGCAGTTCTGCTCTGTCATAGAGGGTCACTCTGAGTCAGAATCAAGTTGACGGCATTGGGTTGGGATCTTACAAATCACCACTTGTGAGAGTTAGATGTTGAAATAAAGGGCTAGTTTTATAGAAGACCTGTTTGGTGAATCTATCGTAAAAATGCAAATCGATTCGTGGGGATTTAGGAGAAAAGCATAAATCAGAATGAAGGCACTGATAACAATAGATCCAACCCCGACATTGGGACTTTAAGTGAGTATTTCTATGAAAGGAATTTAATATTTCTATTACATGTCTAGTAAGTGACATTTATTTGTATTTCCCAAACATTACATTTGGAAAGTCATTTTGCTGAACATCATTCTTTTGTAGTTTTACGCTAATTAATGCAATTAAAAAACAATAACAACAAACAACAACCTACTGCTGCCGATTTGACTCTTAGTGATGAGATAGGACAGAATAGCTTTCCAGGCTGTAATCTACAGGGACGCAGACAGCCACATCTTTCTTTCTCTCAGAAGTTGATGGGTTTGAACCACTGACCCTTGGGTTAGCAACTGAGCACTTAACCACGGTGCCATGAGGGATCCTTAATGCAAAATAAAAACTCATTACCATGGAGTCCATGCTGACTCATAGCAACCCTATAGGACAGGGTTTAACTGCCCCTGTGAATTTCCGAGACTCTAGTTCTTTATGGGAGTGGAGAGCCCCATCTTTCTCCCAAGGAGCAGCTGGTGGTTTGAACTGTTTCCAAGCTTGTGTACTGAAACCCAATTTGTAACCATTTATGCTACCAGAGTTCCTAATGCAATAGTGTACCTTTATTTGTGGCTTCTTAACCCCTTCACTTGGTTTTCCAGTGCACAGAAGGCTGGTCTGTGCATTACATAGGGAAAAAGGCCAGTCACAATGTGGGGAACAGA